TTTTGAATACTTCCAAATCATATTGTTAGAACTATCTGATTTTAACCAAGTTGGGCTAAAGCCTAAATTGTCATCTACTGCTGCAGCGTGCATGATCACTTTTTTTTTTGATACCCAGATATCCCAACTTCGCCAGACTAAATCCTGGACCTCAAGCCTCCGGCCCCTCATTAGCTTGAGGAAGTTAATCGTGGGTTGTGCCCTTATTGGCTCCCAGGTTCCTGCATGGCTTTTACTTCTTCCCCAAAGAGGGCCCTCTCCACTGCCTTCGAGCACCTTGTCTTCGAGATAATTCCCCCTTCCAAGATGCTGCCTTTTAGGAATCGAACCCTCCACACTTGATTTGTGAGCCCACCAATGCAATTGTTCCACCAACTCGGATGTGCCCCGAGGGACTGCAGCGTGCATGATCACTTGCAGGGCACGACAATTGTCAACTCACTGCCCTTAGACTCATTAAATGACGATAAATTGAGTGCAGTCTTTCTATCACAGTCATTGTCCTTTGAAATGAATGTGAAATAAAAAAAAAAAAACAAATACTTTTACTTTCTACAATATTATTTATATTTTACTTAAGCAATTGTCTTTTGTTTATTAGAAGTAGTACACTCTGCTCCCATTTGATATAATTAAAATCTTGCTAAAAATAATTATTTTAATGAGAATTTACATTTGGGGATGGCCACTGATAGTTTCGTCCAACAAACTTTACCAATCAAACTTTTATGTATAAAAATGCATAACTATCAAGGCAATAAATGTTGGGTTCTCTCGTGAACACATAGTTGAGTACTTTGATTTACAATTCACTGTTTATAAAATTATAAATGCAATTACATTGTACTGTTTAAACTTAGTATCAGTTATAGTTCCGAGTCAATAATTAGCCCTTGTTTGAGCCTCATGTTTGGGTCAAAATGTATTTTTAAATAGTATTTGTTGAAGAATGTGGAGTTGAAAAGTACGGAAAAAATTATTTTATAAAATAATATGTAGTTAAAAATGAGTTTTTAAAAAAATAATTTTTGAAAAATGGGAACATAACCTTAATTAACTTTTCAATTTAATATTTTATCAACTTTTATAAAAATCTATTAAAAAAATTGATTTTTAGCTACATCAAACACGAGCTTAGTATCTAAAAGAAAACTTAACTACTATTGTCCTATACAATAAAAAAAAAGGGTCTAAAAACACACTTTAAAATCAATGAAATGTGTAACTATTTTCTCGTGGAGTCAATAAATACTTGTCGAAGATTTTTTGGCAAAGAAAGTAACTAAGGCGTACAAGAGGCCAATATTCAATGCAACACTTAGGAATCCCTTTTGGACGGAAGTGAAGGACGATGCTATGCGTCAAAGTCCAGACAGACATCCCCTTAGCATAATGTCTTCGGCCATAGCTTATGCCCAAAAAGATTGGATTACATAAAATGGTTTTGTTAGTGGTACATCGGGGTGTATCTAATGGTGTACTAAGGCGTACAAGAGGCCAATATTCAATGCAACACTTAGGAATCCCTTTTGGACGGAAGTGAAGGACGATGCTATGCGTCAAAGTCCAGACAGACATCCCCTTAGCATAATGTCTTCGGCCATAGCTTATGCCCAAAAAGATTGGATTACATAAAATGGTTTTGTTAGTGGTACATCGGGGTGTATCTAATGGTGTACACTCCACTCACATGGACGAGAGATCCACGCGAATAAAATATCTTTTCTTTCACATGGGTTCCACACCCATGTGAATGGGCTGTACACCATTCGGTACANAGGAGAGTTATTTTTTATTTATCATTATTATCATTTTTGATTTTTGTCGTTTTAAATATTTTATGCTTCAATAATTTATAAGAAATAACTTATGAGTATTGAATTTTAATTTATATGTTATTTGAGAATTTTTTTATTGTGAATTGTGATATTAAAAATTAATTTAGGTATTGTGAAATGTGAACATGTGATTCATAAAAATTAAAAAATGAGAAATTGGGGAATTTATAATTTGTGATGAATTGGTGTTGAGAATTGGAAATTGAAACTTTAATTATATTTTAAAATTAATTCTAATTACGTTTAATCTTTAATTAACGTTCAATTCTCATACTAATTATAGAATGATTTTTTCAACTGAATTTCAATCTAGTTCTTATAGTGGTGTATCTAAGCTCTCAACTACTTTTAATCAAGCAAACGATTTGTTAAGCATTGATAACACAAAGAAGTCTTATGTATCATGTAATTTATATTATTTCAGATTGTGTTGAAATATAATATGATATAAATATACGATTTTTACGTTTTAGTATATTTACATACAGATCGAAGAATTTTTAATATTAATAAACGATATCGTTATACAGCCGTTAACTATCGACAGTCAACGGTCAACGATCAACGGCCGCTCTAGTTGAGTCGCAGTCCTGGATTCGCTCTTGTGGGTAAGCTCTTGTTCCCTGACTTATTGGAGCACATCACGCGATTTACCTCACTCACGATACTCCAGAGATGGGGCGATGCCTCAAGGTTGGGGTTCAACCTTTTTAACATTGTAATCCAACCTCGTACAAATATTATTGTTTTTGAATACTTCCAAATCATATTGTTAGAACTATCTGATTTTAACCAAGTTGGGCTAAAGCCTAAATTGTCATCTACTGCTGCAGCGTGCATGATCACTTTTTTTTTTGATACCCAGATATCCCAACTTCGCCAGACTAAATCCTGGACCTCAAGCCTCCGGCCCCTCATTAGCTTGAGGAAGTTAATCGTGGGTTGTGCCCTTATTGGCTCCCAGGTTCCTGCATGGCTTTTACTTCTTCCCCAAAGAGGGCCCTCTCCACTGCCTTCGAGCACCTTGTCTTCGAGATAATTCCCCCTTCCAAGATGCTGCCTTTTAGGAATCGAACCCTCCACACTTGATTTGTGAGCCCACCAATGCAATTGTTCCACCAACTCGGATGTGCCCCGAGGGACTGCAGCGTGCATGATCACTTGCAGGGCACGACAATTGTCAACTCACTGCCCTTAGACTCATTAAATGACGATAAATTGAGTGCAGTCTTTCTATCACAGTCATTGTCCTTTGAAATGAATGTGAAATTAAAAAAAACAAACAAATACTTTTACTTTCTACAATATTATTTATATTTTACTTAAGCAATTGTCTTTTGTTTATTAGAAGTAGTACACTCTGCTCCCATTTGATATAATTAAAATCTTGCTAAAAATAATTATTTTAATGAGAATTTACATTTGGGGATGGCCACTGATAGTTTCGTCCAACAAACTTTACCAATCAAACTTTTATGTATAAAAATGCATAACTATCAAGGCAATAAATGTTGGGTTCTCTCGTGAACACATAGTTGAGTACTTTGATTTACAATTCACTGTTTATAAAATTATAAATGCAATTACATTGTACTGTTTAAACTTAGTATCAGTTATAGTTCCGAGTCAATAATTAGCCCTTGTTTGAGCCTCATGTTTGGGTCAAAATGTATTTTTAAATAGTATTTGTTGAAGAATGTGGAGTTGAAAAGTACGGAAAAAATTATTTTATAAAATAATATGTAGTTAAAAATGAGTTTTTAAAAAAATAATTTTTGAAAAATGGGAACATAACCTTAATTAACTTTTCAATTTAATATTTTATCAACTTTTATAAAAATCTATTAAAAAAATTGATTTTTAGCTACATCAAACACGAGCTTAGTATCTAAAAGAAAACTTAACTACTATTGTCCTATACAATAAAAAAAAAGGGTCTAAAAACACACTTTAAAATCAATGAAATGTGTAACTATTTTCTCGTGGAGTCAATAAATACTTGTCGAAGATTTTTTGGCAAAGAAAGTAAATGGGAACATAACCTTAATTAACTTTTCAATTTAATATTTTATCAACTTTTATAAAAATCTATTAAAAAAATTGATTTTTAGCTACATCAAACACGAGCTTAGTATCTAAAAGAAAACTTAACTACTATTGTCCTATACAATAAAAAAAAAGGGTCTAAAAACACACTTTAAAATCAATGAAATGTGTAACTATTTTCTCGTGGAGTCAATAAATACTTGTCGAAGATTTTTTGGCAAAGAAAGTAACTAAGGCGTACAAGAGGCCAATATTCAATGCAACACTTAGGAATCCCTTTTGGACGGAAGTGAAGGACGATGCTATGCGTCAAAGTCCAGACAGACATCCCCTTAGCATAATGTCTTCGGCCATAGCTTATGCCCAAAAAGATTGGATTACATAAAATGGTTTTGTTAGTGGTACATCGGGGTGTATCTAATGGTGTACACTCCACTCACATGGACGAGAGATCCACGCGAATAAAATATCTTTTCTTTCACATGGGTTCCACACCCATGTGAATGGGCTGTACACCATTCGGTACACCCCATTATGTACCACTAGACAAATTCTACATAAAATATGCTTTTAAAGTTAAAATTTGACCAGTTCAAAAATAAGTACTTAATTCCCTTTGTCGAATACATTTATAAAGAGTAATGTTATTCAGGGTTTGTTCGGTAGTGATTATGAGAATTGATTTTTTTGATCGTTAGAAAAAAAGTAGGTCTTACCTGTGAGTGAAGAAGTAAAAAATGACAGCTGGAATAGTGAATAACGATAAAAAATTTGACTTTTTGGGGGGAAGGATTGTTACCAAACGGGCTTATAACTCACTGCGATAGTCATCTTATATGCCATCCAATATGACGATTTGTGATTTAATCTATTAATGTGATAGGTTTTTCTTGATTTATATATTAAATCACTAATCGTCACATGTATATTATGTAGGGGTAATATGATACTGAATGCCTGCAAATAGCATTATTCATTTATAAATAAATGTACTCATGAGAATATTATTGTACCATTGAATTAAATGAGGGAAAGGGAAACAAAGTAGGAAAGAGGAAATTCACAACAATAAAGTCAACCCCTACGCTAAATTTGGATCTCAAAGAGAAGATTGAAGAAGGTGATTGTACTTTTAGAACATCTTTGTCCTCCTTTTTGACTTTGTTCTCATCCTGGATTGTACATTTAGGACACTTTTGCTCATAGTTTTAAATCCCTCACCCCTCACGGCTTCACCTCGGAACCCTTTTGGCACGAAGCTTCCACAATCGCTTTCTCTGTAAAAGGACCATCATCTCTTAATCACCCACTCAACACATGATTCTAAAATCATTTCTTTCCTTTCAAATTTATAAAACTCAGATTCCGATTCCATGGCTCGAACTGGAAGAGTCATTCAAAGAGTTCAGCACGGGATTTTCTGGTACACTTCCTTACATATGCATACACGCACATTATGTTCTCATGCAGATCGATTCAATTATTACCGTGGCTGAGGATATTGAATTTTGAGATTATTTTTCCAAATTTGATTAGCTATTTTTCACCCATTTATCAGCGATATGTTCTATATGGTAACATTTGACTGTTTTCTTGTTACTTGTTTCGGTGTTATTTATTAATCGATGTCTCAATCCATTGGCTCACATTTTTCTTGAATTGATTCCTCGGCCTAGTAATTATTAGTGATTACTTTTACATACATGTATACGCTAGGAATTGAATACTGTAAGATTGATTTTAATAATTGGATTCAAACTACTATTTTTTTTTCTATTCTTGTTCATTTATTGGAGAGCTATGAGTAATTTAGTATATAGCTGGGAAGAAGTCGCACTTTTTAGTGGAAGAGTTGGCAGTGGGTTGAGAACTGGCAGGTGGCGACCACCATTAGATGGAGTATATTTGAAGAGGATGTTTGATAGTGATGACGATTCAGGAGTCAACCTCTGGGGCTTGGTTTATGGATACACATATTGGGTGTATAGTTAACGGAAATAATTACATTACTAACCACTTCATTGGTATTTACATAGGCTGGAATCAAGGTTTTGGGATAAATATTAGATGTACACAGCAAGGAAATTAAATACGATTGCTTCTTCTTCTTCTTTCTTTCTTTTTTTTAATTAATTAATTAATTATTTATTTTATCAAGCTCTCTTGTTTCTAAATATCATTGGGAAGGAAAATTATTTTATTGAGAAAATTAAGTTTTCAATCATTTGAACTTTCAGAAATATAGGTAGTGTGGAAGATCTCTCTCTAAATTTCAGAAGTTATGCATGGACCTAGGAAACAAAATTGTTTGTTTTGTGAAGATTTTCATAATATTTAGGTTCTCTCATTCCCAACCATTTTCTTTCATAAGAAACCGAAGTATATTGACTTCGGGATGGAAAAATGTATATTGGTGAAGATAAAGTTTGAACCCATGAAGACAATAAATAAATGTTTTCTTTATATTGTAGTATTCTCTCAATTACACTTTCAGCTTCTTAAATTTGCTGATTTTATGATTTATATGCTAGGTCATAAGTGCAGCTGTTTATGAGCCTTTTCTTTGGGGGTTCTTTTTGGCTACGCTTCTCATCCATGTTAAAAGTTGGCAAACATGATATTGTATCTAGAATTTGAAAAAATATGGAGGAGAAAAATGATGATATGGGGCTTGATAGACCACCTCCTAATGCCCTGTGGTGTCAATCTGGTCTTATTGAGAAACTGCAGCTGATTTCTCTGAGTTCTTCAGAAGAAACCTCAAATTCTAATGGATTGAGAACTGAACAAGACCTTGGGAGTTCAGCATTTCAGAGAGCATCGCAGACCCTGTGGGACACTGGAAAGCTTGCTGAACCGATTCCTGATGGTTTCTATTTTGTGACTCCTGTAAGTTTATTAAACTGCTATTAATATGTAGCAAGTACTTGATAGTCCTCAATTATATTTAAGTATTTTCTCTAATGGGACGGGACATGTCCATTTAACTGGGATTTATGTGGATAAAAGACTTGTTTTGAATATTCATCTTTTTACCGTTTGTTCTGCTCTAGTTTTTATTCTCTTCTATCCGTATGGATTTTCCCCCAAAAGGAAATGTTGGTTTATGGGCTCCTATTTGTTAGAAATTTAGCCTTGCAATTTCTAGAGATTTTCGTCCTTTCTCTTTATCTTTTTTAAAGATTATATGTAATGATGTTGTTGACTGTCAATGACTATAATTCTCTCTCTTCTGAGTTGTGCATTATTTTCTGCCCACAGTGTATACATTAAATTCCTGTACTAACTTCTGGTTGCATGAAATGATGGTCTTCAAAGTTGTAATGTTATGGTGTAGTTTACTTGTAGCAGTTTTAGTTGCTGTATGATGCTCCATGTGCTGTAGGAAAGAAGATTCAAGGAGCTTTTTGACACTATTCCCTCCTTAGATGAGCTTAATACTTTGGAGACTGAGGGGCTTAGGCCCAGTGTGATTGTTGTCGATACACGTAAAGATAAGAAGCTTTCCATGTTGAAGCAGCTGGCAGTCACTTTGGTGAAGGGATTGAATTCAAGTCCTACTGCCATGATCAAGAAAATAGCTGGATTGGTGCGATTTCCTGGTACCTTTGTTATTTAATTCTTTCATTTTGGTGCATAATTTTCTCTCTTGATTTTTTATTTATTATTTATTTTATTTTATTTTTTTTTGTGAAAAGATGAGGACATGATTCTTCTCATCCTCTCTTAAACCTGTTGTTCCTATCTTTTTTCTTTGGTACTGAATCTGATATACCAGTTATTTTGTACGATGTCATTATTACCAGATTACTGGTAAAGAAATTGCATGGATTACTAGTTACTGAAGTTTTAACAATTCAAAATATGCCTAACTCATCAAATAGTAAAATGTGCTACGAATTATCATTTTTATGCTTACAGGGAAGGAAGATCATTAGGTTTATGTCCATGATTTGAATCATAAAAGGCTAACTGGCTTATTGAATGGAGATAATATAACTATGTAAAGCTGTAATTTGCATCAGCTAAATGATTCACTGAATGTTCTGGATCCATTCTAGGCATAATGAGATCCTGACATATCACCTAGAATGAAGTAGTGGTGAACTGAAGCTGGTTTGACTAATGCTTTCTTGGAAGAGAAGGGTGTGTGATGTTTAATTGAGATCATATATCAAAGAGTAGAAAAATGATGAATCTTAAGAAGATTGTTCACAATGTTAAAGACTATGTACCAATGAATTTAGATTTTCTTGAGTACACGGTGCCTCCAAGTGTGCCATCATTAGATTTTTCTCTTGGATTAGGGGAAATAATTGTAAGTTTTAATGCCAAAACGAGTTGATGCTTGATTTTTTTATTTAATGTTTTGGAAAGGTACATAATTGTTGTCATGTTGTCTTCTTCTTTATTTTTCAAAATAAAACGAAAAGAATGAAAAATATTTGGCACTTGTTTTGTTTTATGTGTCGCCTTTTACTTTAATATTTAGTATTCTATACTGGGTACTTCCTCATTTTCACTTCAATAGTTGTTTCTTTATTCAAGTTATTATGGCGCAGTTGGGGAATAGTTCCTAATCTTTTATGCATTTTTGGGAAGTGATTAAATTAATATTTACGTGATTATGAGCTATAGGTCCTACATAATGTGTCGATAATAAGTGGTAGTAGTTGTGGGTTCTAAGAAATACGTAGATAAAACTATATTTGACCAAAAGTGATAACCAATTAATTACTTTCCAAACATGTTTTATTAAATCGTTCAAATGGTTTCGTCTTTTATTATCGTAGTTAGCCTGTAGAAATCTAGCACATGGCTGTTTGATTTTGGATTGCTCAATTAGAAGCTGAAAGCAAGAAGTATGTAGTTTCAAAATGCTTAGCAAGTAATAAAATACAGAAGGCTGTCTACTGCACCAATAAGCTATGGCTAACAGTCTTCGTGCCATCTAGAAATTAAGGTTTTTTGGCTTTTGACTGATAGGTATTATTATTATTATTTTTTTCCAGGTTTGCGACTTTCACAAGAAACCAAAATTTGGTTTGGATCATGTAGAAGGTTCACTTGAAGAAGTTTCCCATGCATTGGATAATTATGGCATCCGTATGCTGGGTCATATCAAGCATGGTTCATGTCATTCTCGGGCAATTTTATTCAAAGTTCTTGCTAATACTGTAGGTCTTGATAGTAGGCTCATGGTGGTAGGTTTTTGATTTCTTTGGAGTTACATATATATATTCTTTTCCCTTGTCCTATGATTGCCAAAACTTGGTTTCCAAACTGTGGACTATTTATGTGGATTCTAAGTACATTTCAGCTATTAACCAATATCTTTGTTTTTATTTGTCCTTTTGCCTTTTTTTGTTCCCCGTTCTCAGGGTTTACCTAGAGAAGGAGTAATGGAACAAGCAGATTCATTCAAGCACATGTCTGTCATAGTTGTTTTGAATTCTGTAGAACACTTGGTTGATCTTGTGCATTTTCCGGGCAAGCTGATACCAAGCTCTGCAGAGGCACTTTTTCTCACTCATCTCCCTACGGGCGAGAGTGACTCTGCCGAAAATAACTCATATGATTCACCTACTGAACCAAGCAGTCCTCTCTGTAGCATTTCAGATCGAGCAGATGTTGAAGGGTAAGAACCTGTATTTTAAGCTGTATAATCTGGGGCTTTGGAAACAACAACTCACTGGCTTCAATAAGAGGCACATTAGGTTTAAGATTTGTTTCTTTTCTCTAGCTCTATGAGAATCTGGTAACTCATTCTTCAGACCTCATATCATTATAAGGTCGAAACAGTAATGAATACTTGCAGCTCATCTTTGAGGACAACAACAATGCATTAAAGAAACCTTGAATCCTGATGGATCATACACAAATGAAAACAATGATATTTGTATTTAAGTGGAACCGCATTGAATTGGTGTTTTTATTCTTTATATTTGTATAGGCTTTTAGCTTTTTCTAGAGAGATTAAGTATTCTAGTTTCCAACTAATAAAACCTGTTCTTACAGTTTACCCCACAGTGAACCGAATGTAGCAAATTCGTTTTGGCGGCACAGCCGGAAGAAAGATATTGCTGAACAAAGGACAGCCAGTTCAAGGTTTTATTTATATTTGCATGAAAACTTATTCTTATTCTTCTTCCCCCTTTTTTTAAATGCTATATAACTGGAAGTCATAATTTTGATAGAAAAGTGCTAGTGTGAGACTTGTAATTGGAATCATGTGGAAAATGATTGGAATGATCTAAATTTTGCAGTACTTCTCTAAAACTTTGATATTTGTAATCTACCTGAGCTTGATCCAAGAGGAAAAACCCATATTTTTTAAGTTGTAGAGACAGATCACAATGGCTACAAGAGAAGTGGGAAAATCCATGGCAGAATAGTTTCATTTGGAGAAAACAACACAAGCCATCAACTAGGTTGGACGAAAAGATAAAAAGAAATTTGTATATAGAAGTAAATACAGACCTTCTTTAGCTAACTCTTCTAGTTTCATGGATTCTATGCAATGTTGTCCAGCACGGGGGTGGTGTGGGGTCAGATCTTATTGCTACCTAAAATTTCCAAAATAGCTTGATTTTTGTTAACTCGTCACATTTGACTTTCATTTGCCAATTCTCATTACAACAAATGAGAAGTGAAAGTTGTTCTATGCGAGATGAATGTGGAATTGCATGACATGGCATCCGCTGTGTGCGTACTAGCAATGACAACCATTATATTTTTCCATATAATTTTTTTTCTCTACTTGATTTGATTTTGCTATACACCAACCCATTTCAGTGTTTATGTTCTTTTTGATTAATCGATAAGGAAAGTTTTTTCATTTATTTCTTTCGATTGTGTAACTGTTGTATTATTATGACTTATGATGAACTTTCTTTTCACATTTTGGTTCATTTTCTAATAATATTTACTAATGCAAGCATATCTTGTCCATATGTCGTATTACATATTTATACATAAGGGTAATTGGCACAAAACGTTCCCACCTTTTATGTCTATTGTAAAAAACATCCATACCTTTCATTTTTTTGGTATTTTTGCCCCTATTTCCACATTTCTTAGCGCTGAACGTCATTTTCATTAATTTTGGATAATTTTACCCTCCATTCAAATAAAACAAAAAGAAAAGAAAGAAAACAATAAATAACTAATTACAACCACAGCCCAATTTTGAAAAAATTACAAATCAGTGACAAATATATACAAAATTTTCAATGTAGGTGCCAACAACCATGGAACCCAATTTCCGACACCAAGGCCACTGGATTTTAACACCACCACCATCTTCTCATCAACCCTAACATCCCCATGCAAATTCCAGCCCCAAATCCCAGCAAAATCGAGCCAAATTTTGCCAAAAAATCGCCTCTCATGCACGGTATTGTTACAAGTTCGACAAAATCCATGGATGCCTATGTTCCATACAACCCACAGGCTACTCAAGCTCACCAATATGCATCCATACATGTTCCAATTACAGCAAACAACCCAAAAAATTGAGATCTACAACCAATTTTCGAGTCATCGAACTCGCGGCCAACAAAGCCATTTTCCGGCAACGGTAGTTTGACCCATGATCGCCGACCACCACCACAGGACACTACTTAGTATGGCGCATCTACTAAGCATATGGGTCTTCCCCAATTTGGCGTTCAAATGGCTGTTCGTCCAGAAACAATGAACACGCATAGAAATCAATCCGATCCCCTTTCATATAGGATTGTAGCTATGCTGTGCTACCTTATTGTACGATATGACCCTATATGTCCTATGATATCCTACTTCAAATCAGTAAGGAGAAGTTCACAAATTCCAAGTGCTATGGCTCCAAATTTTGCTTCTGTACTTGACCTCGCTACAACAGCTTGCTGTTTACTCCTACAAGTTACAAGATTCCCTCTTACTAGTGTACAATAGTGTGTAGTAGATCTCCTGCCCAATAGCATCTGTGGAAGCTTCAGCATTTAAGTCTTTTGTAATAAAATTCCCATTTCAGAGGTACCTTTTAGATAACAACTGATCTGATAAATGTGGTTTGTAAGGATTGTTCATAAAAAGAGACATCACTTACAGAGTATGCAATATCTGGTCTTGTAAGTGAAAGATATATCAATTTCCTACTAACCTTTGATATAGGTCCTGGTCCACCATTAGTTATTTACACTCCCATTGTCAATAACTTTTGCTCAACCAGTGTTTCAGCTGATCGACATCCCAGCGTCCCTGTTTCCTTAAGAAAATCAGTTATATTCTTGTGTTAAGATATCAATATTCCTTCCTTTGTTTGTGCTACCTTAATACTCAAGACATATTTTAGTTTTTCCATGTTTTTTATTTCAATTCTCATGTCAAGCGAGATTTTAAGCTGATCTTCTTTTCTCTGTTATTTCAAGTTGAGATGATGTCATCCACATAGACTATCACGGCAGAAACTTTCACATCCATGGAGTGTTTTGTGAATAGGGTATGGTCTACTTGACTATGATAATATTTCCTTTTTACCGAACTTGGTAAATCTCCCAAACCATGCTCTTGGAGATCGTTTCACCTCATAAATAGCATTTTTCAAACCATGCAATTTATTTTCGGTTATTAGTTCCTCAAAACCAACTGATACATCCACATACGCACCTTCTTCAAGGTCACCGTGAAGAAACACATTTCTAAAGGTGGCTGTTTTTAGTGATTTCAGCAGATAATCTATTTATATTTTTAATGTGGTTTCAGCATTCCTAGTTTCAGCAGGCGAAATAGGCTCAATATCTTCCATGTGATTATTTGATAGCTGCAATTTATGAACAATAATAGAACTGGAAAATAAACTGCTGTTTCATTGATGAAAATTACAGAACTGAATACGAAACAATAGCCATTCAAGAGGGCTAAAACTCTCCTAAAGGTTTCCCTTCTCACTACATAAGGGCCTGCCTATCCTTTCATGCCTACCTCTATTTATAACCCTTTCCCTAATAGATTAATTCCGCCCACTTGTCCTTGTAACAGAATGCTGTTATTCCTTCCTTCTAGCTACTTCATTCCTTTTAGAACAGGTAAACCTGACAGGAGTCTATCAATACCCTCAGTTTCCAAACTGACTTTGTCCTTAAGGTGGAAGTCAGGGAAGTGTTGGTTGTGTATTCCCTGCGTGGGCAATCGGCTGCTCTCCCAATGTCACAATTCTCATAGGGAACAGATCTGGTTTGAATAAAATTGGGCTAAATTTGTAGGTTCTTTGGGCTCCCTTGCCCTTTTTATTGCCCAATTCCTGTCCTCTACCTCTTGGGCTACATCCATAATTTGGTCCAGTCTCATCTTCACCATTACTTCCACTCTGATTTCTATCTACTTTTCAGTTATGAGAATCTATTGCTCTGATACCAATTGATAGGGTTCAAGCTGCAATTTATGAACAATAATAGAACCAGAAAATAAACTACTGTTTGATGAAAATTACAGAGCTGGAAAAGAAACAATAGCTATTCGAGAGGACTAAAACTCTCCTAAGGGCCTCTCTTCTCACTACATAAAAGCATGCCTATCCTTTAATGCCTACATCTATTTATAAACCTTTCCCTAACAGATAAATTTCCTCCCTCCCCCTTACCCTTGTAACAGAATGCTGTTGTTATTCCTTCCTTCTAGCTGCTTGTTCCTTCCTTCTTCTGGTTTCTCCTCTTGAATATGAATGTTCAAATAGTAGCTGTGATTTTCAAAGAAAGTAACATCCCTAGAGACGACGACTATTTTTGTAGGAGGGCTGTAGCATTTGTAGCCTTTTTGAGTTGGTAAATATCCAAGAAGGAGACATTTTAAAGCTCTAGGATCAAGTTTGCTTCTAGAATGAGTTTGGACATTTACAAATGCTCCACATCTGAGTATTTTAAGTGGATGTTTCCCAATGCCATAAAAAATGTGGATTTTTTTTTTGTAGTGTTTTAATAGGAGATTTTGAATTTAGGACTCTCGATAGAATTAGATCGACAAAATAAGTTGTAGTAAGCACTGCTTCACCCCCAATATAATTTTGAAACATGCATTTGAAAGAGAATTGGAACCTGATCACAATTACCAGATGTCTATTTTTTCTTTCGGCCGCTCCATTTTGTTGGGGTGTGTCAACACAGTATGAATGTTGGGTAATTCCTTCATTTTGAAGATACTTAATGAGAGTGTTATCAAAATATTGCTTTCCATTGTCAGAATGCAATGTATGAATTTTATAATTAAATTGATTTCACACCATTTAGTGAAAGATAGGTAATATTTATTTGACTTTTGATTTTGTTTTGAGGATATATACCCATGTCGTTCTTATTCAATCATATATAAAAGTAACAAACTATCGTGCACTTGATATGTTAATTACACGAGAAAGGCACCAAACCTTAAAGGAATGCTTTACCTTTTATTACTGAGAGGAAAAGGTCCAATGACGATGTTTTGCAAGTTCACAAACTTCAAAATTCAAGTTATGTACATTTGCTTAACCAAACTAGGAAAAAATGTTTTCGAATGGGTAAATTGAGGTGACCCAATCTTTTATGCCAAAGCCAGATTTGATATTTATTCTCACGAGTCCTGGAGGACGTTAGGAGAACCAATTTTGCTATCTTTCATAGATGGTTGAAGAAGGTAGAGTCCATTCTTTTCCGCAGCATGACCTATCATCCTTCCTGTTACACTCTCCTGAAAAAATACCCAAAGAATGAAGAGGACATTGCAGTTTAGTTCATTTTTCACTTTTTTAATGGTTAGCAAATTAAGGACAGATTTGGTGCTTGTAAGACAGATTTTAGGAATAAACTAGATGAAATGCGTATAGTTCCTTGACCAACTGTAGAACAGAAATTCCCATCAGCAATTTTAACTTTTTCTTTACCAAAATGAGTGGAATAAATTGAAAATAACCTGGAATCACTAGTCATATGATCGGAGGCAACTGAATCTACAATCCAAGTGTTAGACGAATGACAATTAAAGGCACTAAGGGCTTGGATATTATGAGTTTGGCCAAAGGAAAAAGAAGGATTTTTCAGTCCTTGGGCAAGTACTTGTGGTTCCAGCTGATTGAGAAGATTCTTTAGCTTTCCAATATATTACATGCTAAGCCCAGTTCTAGTAGTTGGTAAATCTTGTGAGGCTCCAATATTAACAGCAGCTTGATAGACTTGTCCACTTCTATTATTTGGTTTCCCTTCTTTACAGGCTAAATGTGGAGTAAGTTTACAGCACTTATCCCTAGTGTGCCAAAGTTAATTGAAATAGTCAAACCAATGTTTTTTGTTAGTCTTCTTCACTTCAGTTTTTGGCATCCCCAAGATTGAAGCTGAATTATTTATGGCAGCAGCTAGGGCAGAATTATTAGCTACATTAGATTTTCCATGCTGACAGAATTTTGTCACATAACATTTCTTCTACTGTTTTATCCTTTCACATAAGCATGGACCTCGTTTAAAGATTGAAGATGATCCTTGCCCAATATTTGACCTTTCACTTGATCAAGTTCTGGATTAAGGCCACCAAGCAAATCAAAACTTTTTCAAACTCCAGAAATTTCCTCAATTTCACACCATCTCCAGTAGACTCCATATCTATTGGCCTGATACATATCCAATTCCAGCCATAAACTTCTCATAGTATTATAATATTGAGTAACAGTCAAAGTACCTTGTCTGGTATAGTGTATCTGTAAATTCAGTTCAAAAATCTGTACAGCAACCCAATTTTTGTGTAACTCTAATTTACAGCATCCCAAGTTTCTTTCACTGTTGTAGAAGCCCCAAACCTTTACTGATTTCAGATTGCAATGAGTTTAACAATTGAGGCATAGCAGCTGAGTTCTCGGCTTCCCGTGTGGCATATTTAGGATCTGTCTCCTTCGGCTCTGTGATTGCTCCAGTAACAAAATCCATCTTGCTTCTGCTTTCAAGAAATGATTTTGGAGATTGGGACCACTCAAGAAAATTAGTACCGTCAGGTTTTGCCAATTTGAAGGGTAGGATTATCATTCTGAAAGGAGAAATGTTTGAACGGGTATGTGGAGAAAGATGATTAGTCTGACATTTCTGTTTGCGAATGGAATGAAGAGGGGCTGTAATTCCAAACAAAATATTCTGCAGTAATAATGGAAGAAGAAAAATACTGCAAGATAAAATGGTATAATGGAGTGGAAATTTTGAGAACCCTAACAAGGCTCTGATACCATGTTACAAATCATGGTGAATTGTGAAAATGCATACATAGCTTTTCCATCTGTTGTGTTACATTTTATACATAACTTTCCAAACTACAGACCTAAGAAAGGAAATAAATCCCTGATTTTAGGAATTTTTTCATAATATTCTTGAAATCTTCAACAATATTTTCTTTCCATTATAATCTCCCACTTTCAGATTTTTCCATGCAATTCAAATTTTCCTCATTTTTTGTGTCGATTTTCAATTTTTAAATTGCTTTTCCAGTCCTGAGCATCCTTTCTTTCAAGGACATGGGAGATCTTTGCTTGGTGGTTGCAGGGTTTCCTTCAGGGAGTACAACAATGACCTCAATGCATCAAGGTTCTTACTTTGTTATCATTTAATAATTCTCAATATCTTTGTCTTTGATGCAATATGCATTTGAAAACGGTAGATTGTGGTCCATGCTGAACACGTCCTTTTTCTATAGGGTGCTGTCTCACCACCACGATGTCTTATTTTGACACTTTTTTGAATTCAGTCCTATGATATGGATGCCACCTTTCCTAATATATTCTTTTGGTTTTATTTGCATATTCTGGTTCGTAGAATTCAGTTGTGTATATTTTATCCTTTTTTTTCTTTTTGTGTGTGTGTGTGTGTGGAAAGCTTACATTTTCCCAACTCTATCAGCATTTCTTCAATTGTTAAATGCATTTATAATTCAAGAGGAATTACCATCCGTTGGGAGTTTTTATCGTGATTTTTTTATGGCCTCTACAGAGTAGGACTAAGTACCTCTTTTGGGTAAAGGCTACATGGGCCTGGAAGAATCTGTTAAATTTGAAGTGTGGCGTGGCCTTGAGAATGAGTTCTTCTTTGACATGTTACTAGAAAAAAATGTGTTCAGTTTGCAACTTGGCTTAATGTGTCTTTTTAATATCTTTGGAAAGATGTTCATGGTAACTATCATATCTGCCTTGGTCTTGAAGGCTTTGGAAAAGTTATTAGATAATACTGAGGAAAACAGTCTGGGTATCGTTATATGAAAAACCTTATCATTTCATGTTACCAGAATAAACACATTTTAAAATTTAATTGACAGTTCTCTTGTTCAGTATTGTAGCATTTAAGAACACAGTTAATTATGTATTCTCTTTGTTATTTCCTATCAACATTTTTCTTCATTTTTCTTTCTTGTTTGCCATATGCAGTAAGAAAATCTACTTTCTAATGCTGTTATTGCCTTTCGTTTTGTCGACCAATTACAGGTCTGCTGGTACATCTCCAGTATATGCCCGTAGGAGAAGACGGCGTTGTATTAGCATGATACCGGAGATTGGCGATGATACTGTCAGGTGGTTGACTCTGTTGAAACTTAATTTTGCTTTTCTCAATTTTTTATTTCTATGGTGGAAGTTAAAGCTAGAAGATATTCGTTCGAAAAAAATGGAAATAGAAATTGAATTTGTCAGCATTAGTTCATCCTCAATTTGTTTGAGATTTATTTTTTGCTTTTTTTCTAATCCGCTGTACAATGAAATAATTTATAAGCATCTTGGTTTCCATTATTTAGTTGATGTTGGGCAAGCTCCAATACTATCCTGCACTTGCAACCTTCTATTGCAAGTGAAGAGGCGAGTTGCATAAAACTCTTGCGTAATTAATAACTAAGAATGAGGTGAGTGGTGGCATAAACATGTACAAAGGGCAAATTTGGCACAAATAAGGGGAAATAATTATCAGTGATGAATAACTCTTGGGATTTTACCAATATGTTCCTTAGCAATCTAGCTAAACTCTAATGCCCTATTAAATGACTACCTACCATAATATCTTTAAAGAGTAATGGTATTTAGCACCACTGATGTTACAACCCTAGTCTAGATGACACTAAATATCATTAAATGATAGGTACACTTAATTGAATCACATAATTTCACATTTAATTGAAAATATATCACATAATACCATATAAATTGACGCTCTAGCACCATTGGTGCTATATAGCATTATTCATCTTTAAATGTTATAGACATGATTAATTTATTGTTTTTAAGATCTTCAACAGTAGACAATTAATCAATTGGTTGTATCATGATATGGAATTTTCCTTCTGTTTACGCTCCTATTTCGTGCCTTGTTTCATTGTACTGTGTTAAGGGCTTGGTTGTAAAATCCTACGTTTGTCCTTCCATTTGAACGACTTCTTGACATGGATTACATGCTGATGTGGCTTGCACCAAATGTATTTCTCTTGACCTGGTTGCAGTAAAGTCTTATAAATACGTTTGGTAGTTCTACCTGCTTTTTTGGTTCATATAACATTGATAGTGAGCTTGAATCAAGGGCTGTTCGAGCAATGAATGAAACACTGAAGAAAAATCATCTTCCCAAGGAGCAAATAAATTCAACACGTTCTACAAGTGAAAAATATGATAGCTCAGATATACAAGAAAGTGTATGTTCTTTTATCTGCTTGCTTTTTCTATTTTTTTTCTTTTTTCCTTGAAAGAATGATGTTGAAATCCTGCACATAATCATTTGTGCTACAGTATTTGTTTCTCTTTTAATTCACAAATTGATGTCTTGTTTTGCATTACAGTTAAATTTTTCTTAGAGTTCATTTCTTGCGCCAGGCAATTTCTTATCTGTCTAGTTTACAAATCAAAAGGCTTCCCTTTAGATGATGACCTAGAATGTGGTCCTACTCATTTTTTATTTTTATTTTTTTTGGGCATCTGAGAGCGTGGAAATTATTTTGCATCCAGACAGTTTGTTCAAGTCCACTTGAACAATTTCAAGCTTTCAGAAATTTGTTTGGTGTTAATATCTGTTGTCAAATTATGTTGTTTTATTCTAAAATGATTTCCATAGCATGTTTTATGGACTTGCACATTTTTTTGTGTTTTACTCATACCTCCTATTGCTGAACCAATTTTTCTTTGCATTTTTCATAAAATATACAACAGTTCTCAATCTGGATTCGTGTGAATTGAATATTAACAATTATAACCATTAATTCAGATTTCTAATAGTTTCCCGAATGACCAGATATGTCTAGTCTTTTCCTGGAATTTATCCGTTGTTTAATGTTTTCTATCATATGCTTCACTTTCCAGCTATCAAGGTTCAATCCAGATGACCATGATGGGAACCGTGATAAACCTATAAAATATGGTGTTCATGGGAAGCAAATAAGTTCACATAAGGCAATCTCACTTCCATCATCTCCTCAATGTTTTGGCAATCAAGCTTCTCTTAGGGGTGAGGCAAGTACAACATTTGCCAATCCTGATATGATGTTAATATTCAATAAAGTGCTGGAATCATCAAAGATTCTGAAGAAGCCATTGTTACCCTTTCAAGAATGGAACATTGATTTTTCTGAAATAACCATTGGAACCCGTGTTGGAATCGGTATGTTCTCTTTATATTTGTTTCCGATTAGCAAACAAACAATCCTTTCAGAAATGTTTTTATAATCGGTGATTAATGAAGTCGGATAATTTTCATGCTACATTGCCAGGATAGGGGTTCTATCAATTGAAGTCACTATTATTTACTTTACCCCATTATCAGAAAACAATGCACATTTCCAAATGCTTTATTATACATTCCCGGTTTGTTCTACCGTTGGTTGCCCGTATATGCTGACACTCCGCCCGTCCCCTCCCTGACACACATGCACGCGCACTTGCATACATGATGTCAAATCTGATTCTTTTAGGAGACAGAATACTTACTAATGATGGGGTAGAAATTATGAAGTCTTGTAACTCTTTAGCTGATCAAAGAGCAGTGCAGAAGGCCTGTATGACCCCATTGGTGCACATGTTAATTCAAACACTGAACACATAATTAAAAATGAGAACAAAAAATTTGATTAGTTATATTTTTCACACAAAAATATAATCATCACAGCATAACCTGAGACTTACGATGTCCTAATATCACTTTGGTTAGATAATGTTGTGCAAATTAAGCTCGTTTTTTACGTCAACTTTCTTGAAAACCTTCTCGAGTAAACAAGGAAGTCATTATTATGAGTAGATAGAACAAGAATATCATTTTCTTGGCTGTGATATTTCTTAAGTAAGCCATCCTGATCCTGTCTCCAATTATAGCATTATCTGTAAGAAATGCAATCCCCCTAAATGCATTTCCGTACACACATTCAACACACTATCCGGTCTTAAAATGAACCATGCCATTTGACGTTGTATTTTATTTTTTCATGCTATTTACCTCTTTAATTCTTTTCATCTGTTAAACTAAGTTCCCATATTTTTCTTTTGTACACTAGGATTCTTTGGGGAAGTTTTCTGTGGCACTTGGAATGGATTAGAAGTTGGAATCAAGGTGTTTCTGGAACAAGAGCTGACTGTTGAGAATGTTGAAGATTTTTGCAATGAAATATCTATCTTGAGGTAATTTATAATAGGTGTGCCGATGTTATTGCCTTTTTGACTAAGAAATATTTTTTCATTGACAAACATAAGAAATATTTTTTCATTGACAAACATCCCTCCATCCCCCAACAACAGGCACGCAAAATGGGAAACTAGCATAATATTTGTTAGGAATCAAGGTGTTTCTGGAACAAGAGCTGACTGTTGAGAATGTTGAAGATTTTTGCAATGAAATATCTATCTTGAGGTAATTTATAATAGGTGTGCCGATGTTATTGCCTTTTTGACTAAGAAATATTTTTTCATTGACAAACATAAGAAATATTTTTTCATTGACAAACATCCCTCCATCCCCCAACAACAGGCACGCAAAATGGGAAACTAGCATAATATTTGTTGCCTAACATTTCCTTTTCTTCTTTTTTTCCCCCTTCTTTTGCAGCCGTATCCGCCACCCTAATGGTAATATCTTATCCCTAAATATTTCTGAAAATAGTAATGTATGTTATCACGTAGCATAATTACTTTTGGGGTTTCACTTCCTTTTTCTCTCCTGGAGAGTTGGTAAATGGTAAGAAAGTGCGTGATATTTTTTATGCAGTTATTTTATTCCTTGGTGCTTGTACAAAGCCTCCTCACTTGTCCTTGGTTACTGAATATATGGAGATGGGATCACTGTATTATCTGATCCATGCAAGTGGACTGAAAAAGAAACTTAGCTGGCAAAGGAGGCTTAAAATGCTTTGTGATATATGCAGGTTTGCTCAGATATCATCCCTCTTTTCTGTTCTCCATTGCATATTGACTTGTGAATAAATGCTCTTTTGCTTGATTTTATGGATTTCAAAGCATTTAACTTTGTCTTTTTCTCATACCTAAAAATGCAAAAAAACGACGATTAGGTGTTTGCATGATCATTAGATTCCCATATCCGATGCACACAATCTGTTACAGGGCTTTTGGCGAGGTATAAGGTTTAGTTTGAATTTGATTAATCTGATGAATAAAATCTGTCAATCTCATGGCTGGATAAGATGCTGGGCAATCACATTGAACAGATGGGGTAGGCGGTGTGTTCGACGGAAATAATTCACTTCAAATCATGCAGTAATTAATTTGTTCCATTTCATATTGCACAATTTATATTTTTTGTCTAATGAAATATTTATCTGGTTACTCAATTGACTAGAAGATGAGACTGATTTTACTATATAAAGAATTATTTCCTCAAATGTGCTGGGCTCTCTAAATTTTTCTGGCTTGGCATTTCAATGTATCTCACGAATTATGCATCTCGAGGCGAACCTCTTAATTAACTTATTGTGCCTTGAAAGAAAACTTAATGGCCTTGAAGATCAAAACAAAGTCAAAACATCACATTTTGATTAATTTCAGCTGGCAAGGGGTTTATCGATAGTCTGGTATAATGTTTTTGTGTTTCGTCCCGTTATATTTTAATCTCACTAGTCTCTGTTTATTAAGGGGACTGATGTGCTTACACCGAATGAAAATAGTACATCGTGATCTGAAAAGTGCAAACTGCCTCGTGAATAAGCATTGGACAGTAAAGATAGGTGATTTTGGGCTGTCAAGAGTACTGACTACCACACCAATGACGGATTCTTCTTCTGCTGGAACTCCGGAATGGATGGCTCCAGAACTTATTCGCAATGAACCCTTCACTGAGAAATGCGATATTTTCGGCCTTGGTGTCATAATGTGGGAGCTATGCACACTCAAAAGGCCATGGGACGGTGTACCGTCTGTTCAAGTAAGTATTGTGAAACCTCTCTACTTTATTAAAAGGATTATACACAAAGAACAAACCGAATATAGATCTATTGATGCTAATGCTTGCATACGAGCAGGTAGTGTATGCTGTTGCCAATGATGGTCAAAGGCTCGAAATTCCTAAAGGTCCACTGAGCAAGTTAATTGCAGGTCGATTTCAATTAGACTTAATTTGTCTGTGTGTTGCCCCACTTTAGAACTAGAATTTGATTTGTTTCTATTCCAGATTGCTGGGCAGAACCAGATGAACGCCCTACCTCCCAGGAAGTTCTCGCGCGCCTCCATGAGTGCGAATGCTTCTTGCTGAGTTAATTTGGTTCTTTTAATTTGTGCAAACGCCATAATGGTAGTATTGAGAGTTGTTGCAGGAGATTTTTAAATAAATATTTCTTTTTTATGACTGGATATTGCTTCAGTTTCAATAAAAGTGAACTGGTGAAATAAAATTAGTGATTTCAGCAGATAATCTATTTATATTTTTAATGTGGTTTCAGCATTCCTAGTTTCAGCAGGCGAAATAGGCTCAATATCTTCCATGTGATTATTTGATAGCTGCAATTTATGAACAATAATAGAACTGGAAAATAAACTGCTGTTTCATTGATGAAAATTACAGAACTGAATACGAAACAATAGCCATTCAAGAGGGCTAAAACTCTCCTAAAGGTTTCCCTTCTCACTACATAAGGGCCTGCCTATCCTTTCATGCCTACCTCTATTTATAACCCTTTCCCTAATAGATTAATTCCCCCCACTTGTCCTTGTAACAGAATGCTGTTTTTCCTTCCTTCTAGCTACTTCTTCATTCCTTTTAGAATAGGTAAACCTGACAGGAGTCTATCAATACCCTCAGTTTCCAAACTGACTTTGTCCTTAAGGTGGAAGTCAGGGAAGTGTTGGTTGTGTATTCCCTGCGTGGGCAATCGGCTGCTCTCCCAATGTCACAATTCTCATAGGGAACAGATCTGGTTTGAATAAAATTGGGCTAAATTTGTAGGTTCTTTGGGCTCCCTTGCCCTTTTTATTGCCCAATTCCTGTCCTCTACCTCTTGGGCTACATCCATAATTTGGTCCAGTCTCATCTTCACCATTACTTCCACTCTGATTTCTATCTACTTTTCAGTTATGAGAATCTATTGCTCTGATACCAATTGATAGGGTTCAAGCTGCAATTTATGAACAATAATAGAACCAGAAAATAAACTACTGTTTGATGAAAATTACAGAGCTGGAAAAGAAACAATAGCTATTCGAGAGGACTAAAACTCTCCTAAGGGCCTCTCTTCTCACTACATAAAAGCATGCCTATCCTTTAATGCCTACATCTATTTATAAACCTTTCCCTAACAGATAAATTTCCTCCCTCCCCCTTACCCTTGTAACAGAATGCTGTTGTTATTCCTTCCTTCTAGCTGCTTGTTCCTTCCTTCTTCTGGTTTCTCCTCTTGAATATGAATGTTCAAATAGTAGCTGTGATTTTCAAAGAAAGTAACATCCCTAGAGACGACGACTATTTTTGTAGGAGGGCTGTAGCATTTGTAGCCTTTTTGAGTTGGTAAATATCCAAGAAGGAGACATTTTAAAGCTCTAGGATCAAGTTTGCTTCTAGAATGAGTTTGGACATTTACAAATGCTCCACATCTGAGTATTTTAAGTGGATGTTTCCCAATGCCATAAAAAATGTGGACTTTTTTTTTGTAGTGTTTTAATAGGAGATTTTGAATTTAGGACTCTTGATAGAATTAGATCGACAAAATAAGTTGTAGTAAGCACTGCTTCACCCCCAATATAATTTTGAAACATGCATTTGAAAGAGAATTGGAACCTGATCACAATTACCAGATGTCTATTTTTTCTTTCGGCCGCTCCATTTTGTTGGGGTGTGTCAACACAGTATGAATGTTGGGTAATTCCTTCATTTTGAAGATACTTAATGAGAGTGTTATCAAAATATTGCTTTCCATTGTCAGAATGCAATGTATGAATTTTATAATTAAATTGATTTCACACCATTTAGTGAAAGATAGGTAATATTTATTTGACTTTTGATTTTGTTTTGAGGATATATACCCATGTCGTTCTTATTCAATCATATATAAAAGTAACAAACTATCGTGCACTTGATATGTTAATTACATGAGAAAGGCACCAAACCTTAAAGGAATGCTTTACCTTTTATTACTGAGAGGAAAAGGTCCAATGACGATGTTTTGCAAGTTCACAAACTTCAAAATTCAAGTTATGTACATTTGCTTAACCAAACTAGGAAAAAATGTTTTCGAATGGGTAAATTGAGGTGACCCAATCTTTTATGCCAAAGCCAGATTTGATATTTATTCTCACGAGTCCTGGAGGATGTTAGGAGAACCAATTTTGCTATCTTTCATAGATGGTTGAAGAAGGTAGAGTCCATTCTTTTCCGCAGCATGACCTATCATCCTTCCTGTTAGACTCTCCTGAAAAAATACCCAAAGAATGAAGAGGACATTGCAGTTTAGTTCATTTTTCACTTTTTTAATGGTTAGCAAATTAAGGACAGATTTGGTGCTTGTAAGACAGATTTTAGGAATAAACTAGATGAAATGCGTATAGTTCCTTGACCAACTGTAGAACAGAAATTCCCATCAGCAATTTTAACTTTTTCTTTACCAAAATGAGTGGAATAAATTGAAAATAACCTGGAATCACTAGTCATATGATCGGAGGCAACTGAATCTACAATCCAAGTGTTAGACGAATGACAATTAAAGGCACTAAGGGCTTGGATATTATGAGTTTGGCCAAAGGAAAAAGAAGGATTTTTCAGTCCTTGGGCAAGTACTTGTGGTTCCAGCTGATTGAGAAGATTCTTTAGCTTTCCAATATATTACATGCTAAGCCCAGTTCTAGTAGTTGGTAAATCTTGTGAGGCTCCAATATTAACAGCAGCTTGATAGACTTGTCCACTTCTATTATTTGGTTTCCCTTCTTTACAGGCTAAATGTGGAGTAAGTTTACAGCACTTATCCCTAGTGTGCCAAAGTTAATTGAAATAGTCAAACCAATGTTTTTTGTTAGTCTTCTTCACTTCAGTTTTTGGCATCCCCAAGATTGAAGCTGAATTATTTATGGCAGCAGCTAGGGCAGAATTATTAGCTACATTAGATTTTCCATGCTGACAGAATTTTGTCACATAACATTTCTTCTACTGTTTTATCCTTTCACATAAGCATGGACCTCGTTTAAAGATTGAAGATGATCCTTGCCCAATATTTGACCTTTCACTTGATCAAGTTCTGGATTAAGGCCACCAAGCAAATCAAAACTTTTTCAAACTCCAGAAATTTCCTCAATTTCACACCATCTCCAGTAGACTCCATATCTATTGGCCTGATACATATCCAATTCCAGCCATAAACTTCTCATAGTATTATAATATTGAGTAACAGTCAAAGTACCTTGTCTGGTATAGTGTATCTGTAAATTCAGTTCAAAAATCTGTACAGCAACCCAATTTTTGTGTAACTCTAATTTACAGCATCCCAAGTTTCTTTCACTGTTGTAGAAGCCCCAAACCTTTACTGATTTCAGATTGCAATGAGTTTAACAATTGAGGCATAGCAGCTGAGTTCTCGGCTTCCCGTGTGGCATATTTAGGATCTGTCTCCTTCGGCTCTGTGATTGCTCCAGTAACAAAATCCATCTTGCTTCTGCTTTCAAGAAATGATTTTGGAGATTGGGACCACTCAAGAAAATTAGTACCGTCAGGTTTTGCCAATTTGAAGGGTAGGATTATCATTCTGAAAGGAGAAATGTTTGAACGGGTATGTGGAGAAAGATGATTAGTCTGACATTTCTGTTTGCGAATGGAATGAAGAGGGGCTGTAATTCCAAACAAAATATTCTGCAGTAATAATGGAAGAAGAAAAATACTGCAAGATAAAATGGTATAATGGAGTGGAAATTTTGAGAACCCTAACAAGGCTCTGATACCATGTTACAAATCATGGTGAATTGTGAAAATGCATACATAGCTTTTCCATCTGTTGTGTTACATTTTATACATAACTTTCCAAACTACAGACCTAAGAAAGGAAATAAATCCCTGATTTTAGGGACAGAAAGTAAATCCCTGATTTTAGGAATTTTTTCATAATATTCTTGAAATCTTCAACCATATTTTCTTTCCATTATAATCTCCCACTTTCAGATTTTTCCATGCAATTCAAATTTTCCTCATTTTTTGTGTCGATTTTCAATTTTTAAATTGCTTTTCCAGTCCTGAGCATCCTTTCTTTCAAGGACATGGGAGATCTTTGCTTGGTGGTTGCAGGGTTTCCTTCAGGGAGTACAACAATGACCTCAATGCATCAAGGTTCTTACTTTGTTATCATTTAATAATTCTCAATATCTTTGTCTTTGATGCAATATGCATTTGAAAACGGTAGATTGTGGTCCATGCTGAACACATGTCCTTTTTCTATAGGGTGCTGTCTCACCACCACGATGTCTTATTTTGACACTTTTTTGAATTCAGTCCTATGATATGGATGCCACCTTTCCTAATATATTCTTTTGGTTTTATTTGCATATTCTGGTTCGTAGAATTCAGTTGTGGATATTTTATCCTTTTTTTTCTTTTTGTGTGTGTGTGTGTGTGGAAAGCTTACATTTTCCCAACTCTATCAGCATTTCTTCAATTGTTAAATGCATTTATAATTCAAGAGGAATTACCATCCGTTGGGAGTTTTTATCGTGATTTTTTTATGGCCTCTACAGAGTAGGACTAAGTACCTCTTTTGGGTAAAGGCTACATGGGCCTGGAAGAATCTGTTAAATTTGAAGTGTGGCGTGGCCTTGAGAATGAGTTCTTCTTTGACATGTTACTAGAAAAAAATGTGTTCAGTTTGCAACTTGGCTTAATGTGTCTTTTTAATATCTTTGGAAAGATGTTCATGGTAACTATCATATCTGCCTTGGTCTTGAAGGCTTTGGAAAAGTTATTAGATAATACTGAGGAAAACAGTCTGGGTATCGTTATATGAAAAACCTTATCATTTCATGTTACCAGAATAAACACATTTTAAAATTTAATTGACAGTTCTCTTGTTCAGTATTGTAGCATTTAAGAACACAGTTAATTATGTATTCTCTTTGTTATTTCCTATCAACATTTTTCTTCATTTTTCTTTCTTGTTTGCCATATGCAGTAAGAAAATCTGCTTTCTAATGCTGTTATTGCCTTTCGTTTTGTCGACCAATTACAGGTCTGCTGGTACATCTCCTGTATATGCCCGTAGGAGAAGACGGCGTTGTATTAGCATGATACCGGAGATTGGCGATGATACTGTCAGGTGGTTGACTCTGTTGAAACTTAATTTTGCTTTTCTCAATTTTTTATTTCTATGGTGGAAGTTAAAGCTAGAAGATATTCGTTCGAAAAAAATGGAAATAGAAATTGAATTTGTCAGCATTAGTTCATCCTCAATTTGTTTGAGATTTATTTTTTGCTTTTTTTCTAATCCGCTGTACAATGAAATAATTTATAAGCATCTTGGTTTCCATTATTTAGTTGATGTTGGGCAAGCTCCAATACTATCCTGCACTTGCAACCTTCTATTGCAAGTGAAGAGGCGAGTTGCATAAAACTCTTGCGTAATTAATAACTAAGAATGAGGTGAGTGGTGGCATAAACATGTACAAAGGGCAAATTTGGCACAAATAAGGGGAAATAATTATCAGTGATGAATAACTCTTGGGATTTTACCAATATGTTCCTTAGCAATCTAGCTAAACTCTAATGCCCTATTAAATGACTACCTACCATAATATCTTTAAAGAGTAATGGTATTTAGCACCACTGATGTTACAACCCTAGTCTAGATGACACTAAATATCATTAAATGATAGGTACACTTAATTGAATCACATAATTTCACATTTAATTGAAAATATATCACATAATACCATATAAATTGACGCTCTAGCACCATTGGTGCTATATAGCATTATTCATCTTTAAATGTTATAGACATGATTAATTTATTGTTTTTAAGATCTTCAACAGTAGACAATTAATCAATTGGTTGTATCATGATATGGAATTTTCCTTCTGTTTACGCTCCTATTTCGTGCCTTGTTTCATTGTACTGTGTTAAGGGCTTGGTTGTAAAATCCTACGTTTGTCCTTCCATTTGAACGACTTCTTGACATGGATTACATGCTGATGTGGCTTGCACCAAATGTATTTCTCTTGACCTGGTTGCAGTATATTGCTGAACCAATTTTTCTTTGCATTTTTCATAAAATATACAACAGTTCTCAATCTGGATTCGTGTGAATTGAATATTAACAATTATAACCATTAATTCAGATTTCTAATAGTTTCCCGAATGACCAGATATGTCTAGTCTTTTCCTGGAATTTATCCGTTGTTTAATGTTTTCTATCATATGCTTCACTTTCCAGCTATCAAGGTTCAATCCAGATGACCATGATGGGAACCGTGATAAACCTATAAAATATGGTGTTCATGGGAAGCAAATAAGTTCACATAAGGCAATCTCACTTCCATCATCTCCTCAATGTTTTGGCAATCAAGCTTCTCTTAGGGGTGAGGCAAGTACAACATTTGCCAATCCTGATATGATGTTAATATTCAATAAAGTGCTGGAATCATCAAAGATTCTGAAGAAGCCATTGTTACCCTTTCAAGAATGGAACATTGATTTTTCTGAAATAACCATTGGAACCCGTGTTGGAATCGGTATGTTCTCTTTATATTTGTTTCCGATTAGCAAACAAACAATCCTTTCAGAAATGTTTTTATAATCGGTGATTAATGAAGTCGGATAATTTTCATGCTACATTGCCAGGATAGGGGTTCTATCAATTGAAGTCACTATTATTTACTTTACCCCATTATCAGAAAACAATGCACATTTCCAAATGCTTTATTATACATTCCCGGTTTGTTCTACCGTTGGTTGCCCGTATATGCTGACACTCCGCCCGTCCCCTCCCTGACACACATGCACGCGCACTTGCATACATGATGTCAAATCTGATTCTTTTAGGAGACAGAATACTTACTAATGATGGGGTAGAAATTATGAAGTCTTGTAACTCTTTAGCTGATCAAAGAGCAGTGCAGAAGGCCTGTATGACCCCATTGGTGCACATGTTAATTCAAACACTGAACACATAATTCAAAATGAGAACAAAAAATTTGATTAGTTATATTTTTCACACAAAAATATAATCATCACAGCATAACCTGAGACTTACGATGTCCTAATATCACTTTGGTTAGATAATGTTGTGCAAATTAAGCTCGTTTTTTACGTCAACTTTCTTGAAAACCTTCTCGAGTAAACAAGGAAGTCATTATTATGAGTAGATAGAACAAGAATATCATTTTCTTGGCTGTGATATTTCTTAAGTAAGCCATCCTGATCCTGTCTCCAATTATAGCATTATCTGTAAGAAATGCAATCCCCCTAAATGCATTTCCGTACACACATTCAACACACTATCCGGTCTTAAAATGAAGCATGCCATTTGACATTGTATTTTATTTTTTCATGCTATTTACCTCTTTAATTCTTTTCATCTGTTAAACTAAGTTCCCATATTTTTCTTTTGTACACTAGGATTCTTTGGGGAAGTTTTCTGTGGCACTTGGAATGGATTAGAAGTTGGAATCAAGGTGTTTCTGGAACAAGAGCTGACTGTTGAGAATGTTGAAGATTTTTGCAATGAAATATCTATCTTGAGGTAATTTATAATAGGTGTGCCGATGTTATTGCCTTTTTGACTAAGAAATATTTTTTCATTGACAAACATAAGAAATATTTTTTCATTGACAAACATCCCTCCATCCCCCAACAACAGGCACGCAAAATGGGAAACTAGCATAATATTTGTTACCTAACATTTCCTTTTCTTTTTTTTTCCCCCTTCTTTTGCAGCCGTATCCGCCACCCTAATGGTAATACCTAACATTTCCTTTTCTTTTTTTTTCCCCCTTCTTTTGCAGCCGTATCCGCCACCCTAATGGTAATATCTTATCCCTAAATATTTCTGAAAATAGTAATGTATGTTATCACGTAGCATAATTACTTTTGGGGTTTCACTTCCTTTTTCTCTCCTGGAGAGTTGGTAAATGGTAAGAAAGTGCGTGATATTTTTTATGCAGTTATTTTATTCCTTGGTGCTTGTACAAAGCCTCCTCACTTGTCCTTGGTTACTGAATATATGGAGATGGGATCACTGTATTATCTGATCCATGCAAGTGGACTGAAAAAGAAACTTAGCTGGCAAAGGAGGCTTAAAATGCTTTGTGATATATGCAGGTTTGCTCAGATATCATCCCTCTTTTCTGTTCTCCATTGCATATTGACTTGTGAATAAATGCTCTTTTGCTTGATTTTATGGATTTCAAAGCATTTAACTTTGTCTTTTTCTCATACCTAAAAATGCAAAAAAACGACGATTAGGTGTTTGCATGATCATTAGATTCCCATATCCGATGCACACAATCTGTTACAGGGCTTTTGGCGAGGTATAAGGTTTAGTTTGAATTTGATTAATCTGATGAATAAAATCTGTCAATCTCATGGCTGGATAAGATGCTGGGCAATCACATTGAACAGATGGGGTAGGCGTTGTGTTCGACGGAAATAATTCACTTCAAATCATGCAGTAATTAATTTGTTCCATTTCATATTGCACAATTTATATTTTTTGTCTAATGAAATATTTATCTGGTTACTCAATTGACTAGAAGATGAGGCTGATTTTACTATATAAAGAATTATTTCCTCAAATGTGCTGGGCTCTCTAAATTTTTCTGGCTTGGCATTTCAATGTATCTCACGAATTATGCATCTCGAGGCGAACCTCTTAATTAACTTATTGTGCCTTGAAAGAAAACTTAATGGCCTTGAAGATCAAAACAAAGTCAAAACATCACATTTTGATTAATTTCAGCTGGCAAGGGGTTTATCGATAGTCTGGTATAATGTTTTTGTGTTTCGTCCCGTTATATTTTAATCTCACTAGTCTCTGTTTATTAAGGGGACTGATGTGCTTACACCGAATGAAAATAGTACATCGTGATCTGAAAAGTGCAAACTGCCTCGTGAATAAGCATTGGACAGTAAAGATAGGTGATTTTGGGCTGTCAAGAGTACTGACTACCACACCAATGACGGATTCTTCTTCTGCTGGAACTCCGGAATGGATGGCTCCAGAACTTATTCGCAATGAACCCTTCACTGAGAAATGCGATATTTTCGGCCTTGGTGTCATAATGTGGGAGCTATGCACACTCAAAAGGCCATGGGACGGTGTACCGTCTGTTCAAGTAAGTATTGTGAAACCTCTCTACTTTATTAAAAGGATTATACACAAAGAACAAACCGAATATAGATCTATTGATGCTAATGCTTGCATACGAGCAGGTAGTGTATGCTGTTGCCAATGATGGTCAAAGGCTCGAAATTCCTAAAGGTCCACTGAGCAAGTTAATTGCAGGTCGATTTCAATTAGACTTAATTTGTCTGTGTGTTGCCCCACTTTAGAACTAGAATTTGATTTGTTTCTATTCCAGATTGCTGGGCAGAACCAGATGAACGCCCTACCTCCCAGGAAGTTCTCGCGCGCCTCCATGAGTGCGAATGCTTCTTGCTGAGTTAATTTGGTTCTTTTAATTTGTGCAAACGCCATAATGGTAGTATTGAGAGTTGTTGCAGGAGATTTTTAAATAAATATTTCTTTTTTATGACTGGATATTGCTTCAGTTTCAATAAAAGTGAACTGGTGAAATAAAATTTGCTTTCTTTTATTTATGCCATACATGGTGTGATAGTACGAGGATTGGCTTATACATTCCTCTTAGTCTTTACTTCGACTCTAGCGAAAGTTTTGCTTTACTAGAGAAGTTGGCTCTAACAATTTATTGGAGCATCTTTAAAAGATTTTATTTTTAAATAACATATTCTACAATTTAGAAACTAAAAGCTTTTAAATACTCCAATTTTTTTATATTAAACACTTAATTTTACTATTCTCAAAATATATTTATTTTTTCATCTTTTATATTCATTAGCTTTCTTCCAAATTATAATGGTATTTTTTTAATTGAAAATTGAAATACTTTGAATGCATTTAGTTATAAAATTAAAAAGCTAAATCCGCTCTCTATTTTAGAACATTTTTAATAGGTTTTTTTATTTTTAAAGAGCATATTTTATTATTTTAAGATCATTTATAAATTTGGAGAGTTAAAATTTAAAAGTACTCCATCAAGTTCTTTATATTTAATGTTTAATTTTACTACTTTGAAAAAATATTGATTAATTTTCTCTATCTTTTATTTTAACTAGTTTTTCTTTAAATTATTTTATTATTTTTTATATTGAAAATTGATACACTTTAAATACATTTAGGCCATGTTTGATAAGACAAAATTTTCCATGAAAAATGGAAAACAAATTCCATTTCCCACTTTTAGCTTGTTTGATAGCCAAAGGTTTTTAGGCAATTGGTTTTCCACCTTTGTCTCACGTGCACCATTCCTTGTTTTTGGGGAATTCATTTTCCCATGGAAGAGGTGGTTTATGTTTTATTTAGGCAATAGGAACAAATTTTAGAAACAATTGTAAAAGAGTATATCCCTTAAATTGACAATTTTCCCGTAAAGCAAAGCTAAACGAACATTAAAATATGGATGATTTATTATTATTATTATTATTATTATTATTATTATTATTATTATTATTATTATTATTATTGTTTTGGCAATGGAAAGAAATTATATTCTCAATACTAGTAAATTTTATTTTTTTAATTGATAATTTTCATGTAAAACAAATTCAAACGAATGCAAAAAAAAAAAACACTTTTATTTCAACATTTTTTACATGAAAAATTACACCAATCAACTACAATAATTGACAATTTTCAGTAAAATAATTTCTCCACAATTTAATTCTCTGGAATTCGTTTTCTTTCAATCCAAATTTCATCTTTACAATCAAATGGACCCTTAGTTATAAAGTGAATTAGGAGAGTCAACTCACTATCTAAATTAAAATATTAATTTAAAGAGTCTTGGAACATGATTTTAAGGGTTAATTTTTTAAAATAGAAATTATTTAATGTTTAAAGGGTCTCTCAAAGCTGTTCTTAAAACATTAAATTAAAAGGTCTCTTGGAATATAATTTTAAAGATTAACTCTTTGAATTAAAAAAAATTCTTATGTTTAAAGAGTCTTTTGAAAATATTCTTAATCGATTACTAGTTTAATCATTCATGCATGCTTTTAGTAGAATATACGAGTACCTAACTAAAGAATGCTATTGCAATTATCTGTGTCGATTAAATACTTATGTTTGGTTCGTGTTTATAAATTATTTATTAAATATTCAAATTACTTTTTATATATACATTTCGAGAGATCCACAATCATTGATCACTTATCTATAACTCATATATAATATAAACCATTAATAAAATTGTGAGTTTTACAATGTTCAAACACTTGAGTTCAGGATCTCATCATCCACTAAACAAAAATTATGCCAGCCACTACTTTGAAGACAACTGCTGACCAATCCGGTGGATTGGGATACTCTCTTGTTCCATATTTTTATCTTAGTAGTGTATTATTTATTATTGTTGAAAATGATAAGTTTTTATTAATAAATGGCAATTGTACCCCCATAGCCCTAAAAATCATTATCGTTGTATCTCTAATACTTTCATATAAATATGAGGCTTTAGTTCTCATTACAATACACATAAGTTTATTGATTTTTATTTTTCTTTATTTTATAACAAGTTATCAACATGAAAACTTAATTCTTCCAAATATAGTGAAGTTAGTAAATTTTTTAAGCATGATCATCTATTACGTGCTCCAAAGATAATTTGGTGATATGTGATATTTTTTATTTTTATTTTTTTTACATGCATATACATCAAAACGAGATTGTTTCTTAATCTTTTCTGTCGTTTATTTGTGTAATATTAATTCGTGCTTTTATTTAATCAATTCATGCCTTTAGTTTATGAAGCAATTTAATTTACATCCATGCCTTTAATTCATATTAATTCATGTCTTTACAGTTTAGTTACTATTTCATTAATATGAGAAATTATGTCAAAATATTACTGTTTGAGCCACATTCTTTAAATATATATATATATATATATATATATATATATATATATTTAACAGTGATTTGATATTATTTCAACCACATATTCTTCAATATAATAATATTACACGCAAATTAAAAATTTTCTTTATTTTTTAATCACATATTTTCCATCAATACACTATTCAAAAATGAATTCTTATGAAAATAATGTAGCTTAAACAAGGGCTAATTGAGTATTTTTCTACATTCCTTTTTTAATATATACAATCTACCGTAATTTGTCTGTATGGTAATGATTTATTCTACACTAATTATTTGTGCAATTTATTCACTACATGTTATGTGCACAAATACTTACCTTATTTTTAATTCCCGCTATATGCATAGTTAATTTTCTATTCCTGTATTTTTTATTTTTTTTACTAATAATTATGTTATATTCATCGCATAATGATTTATTTTGCAAGTTTATCAATTAAATTTTTAACTTGATTAAATACTTTTAGATGTTCTTCAATAAACTTTAAATTAATAACTTATCATGCTGTTGCTTTTGAAAAACTTATCTATTACAAATAGTTTATTGTTATTCCTAAAGTAGCATAACATTATAATTAATATCTTTGAAAAATATTACTTGCTCCTAAAGAGCGTATATTATAATTTTCAATATTTTAGAAAAACGGTGATAAATTACTCTTGAAGAAGCAATGGTAAAATACAATATGCTCTTGAAATAGCACATGTTTCAAAAAAACATATTATTTTAAATTAGTGCTTATTGTTGAAGGAAAATACGTAACTTACGTCATGCTAATATTGATTATTTGGTTAACTATTATGTGATGTTTAATTATATTTTTCAAAACTAATTGTATTTTCTTTATTGTGTGGTTAATCAAATAGAAGACATCACAAAACTTTAATTTGCTATATTTGACATATCTGAAAAAAACTATCTGTTACGGGTACTCAATGTTGATATTTATCTTATTTTAAAGGGTTTAGGAGAGATAATAAAAGAATAAAATAAAGAATTCTTGCAAAGTCATGCAAAGCACTCATCTTCCTTCATCATCAAAAATCAAATATCTCTCTGAGAAAGATCCATAGGATCTTTGAAAAAAATTAACTGAAAATTTTGATCATCGGACGACTATATTCTTCCTTAAAACGCGCTATGAATGGGTGTATCTTCGTTTACAAGATTTCAAAACTGTTATAGAATACAATTTTGAACTGTCTAGAATATATTAAAAATTGAAATTGTGTAGAAGAAAAATCACTCATGAAAATATATTGAAAAAAGTTTTCTACCTTTTACACCTCGAATATGCTCATGCAGTAGCAGTATCGTCAGCATGGATTTAAAAAGTACTCAAAACTCATATCTTGTCTGCTAATGACTAATGAACAGCTATGAAAATCATGGATTATGTTCAACTGGTTCTGTACCATTGCCAAAAGCAAATGGTACTACATTGCCTAAAATAAATGCAATATCAAAACACGGTGGTAGTGGACGCGGATGTGAACGTAGAATAAATCATGGACAAAATAATCAATAAAACCATCAGCAACAAGGCAACAATTTCAATATGTAAAAAGCAATCGAAAGTAGCAAATCCAAAAATAAGCACAAAGAAAGTTACTTTAGATATGAAATAAAATGGTATTGGACATGTACATATCGTATGGAAAAACATATTATAGATTTCTACCAAAATCAATTAAAGGAAAGGAAAAAAGGAAAAGTGGAGACAACTTTTGCTGATTATGATTGTCCAATTGATTTGACTTATTTGGATGTCTATGAGTTCTTTGCTGATCCAAATGAGAATATTAACCATTTAATTGGAATGATGTGATGAAAGATATAAATTAATTTACTTTCTAGTATTTTACATTATTTTAAAAATTCAATTTGAAATATGTTTTCACTTTTTGCAAAATATTTGAAATTTTATTATGCATCGTTAATTTCATATATTGAATTATGTTTATTCTTTTAAATTTAAATCAAGTTTTTAAAATATATTTGTTTTGTTATAAATTCATAATGGATTTTTAAGATACCAACTTGATTAAGAGTGCAACTACACGTACTATTATTCAACAAAAAAAATAATAATCTTAACATTAGCAGAAAATAATGTTACTACGATATCAAGTACATTAAAAATCGTTGAAGGTTCCGAAAGAGCTCGTATTATTTTACTAAATAATATAAAATTACATATTGATGATGTACTGTATTCTAGTAAATCCAGAAAAAATGCTTAGTTTTAAAGATATCTGCTACAATGGATATCATATTGAGACGGTGTAAAAAAATATTAAATATCTTTGCATAATTTCTTTTGTATCTGATAAGAAGTAGATAAAACAAAAACTCCATGCACACACATCTGGCATTTGTTATACATTTATAAAAATGGTTGAATCAAACACTGTCATAGACCAGAAATTTGTTGACCCAAAAAGTTTTATGCTTTGGCATCAACTTGGATATCCAAGAGCTATAATGATGCGTTGAGTAATAAACAACTCACATAGACATCTTTTAAAGAACCATATAATTCTTTTACCTAATGATTATTAATGTGTAGCTCGTTCGCAAACAAGTTAGTCACTGGACTTTCGATTACAAAAATCAATATTGAATCTCCAACTTTATTGAAAAGAA